GAGCTGCTGGCCTTCCACCCCCCGCCCCAGGCAAAGGAGGATGGTCGTGAGAGTGGTGATGTTGAACAGATTGCGAGGAAGTCTCGGCCGGGAGCCGTGAAATTCTCACTTCTAAGTCGTTTAGTGTGTGAACTTGCTCCCTGGTGCCAAGGTGGGCAGCAAAGGCTGGCGAATGTCTGTTTGACAGATATCATGGTGAAGCTCCATTTGTTTCGATAGAATTCGTTTCGCGCGTGCTCGATCGAGGAAAGTTTGCCCCCCAACTTTGGATCCTCGATAAACACCAGGGTCCGCAAAACCCCGTTCCCATCACAAGAAAGGGTGCGGAGCGTTGAGCGCCGAATCTTCGACTCATAACGGGGTTTGGAGGAATGGAAATTTGCTACAATATGAGAAGCAGTTGATTGTGCGCGTGCCCGCTCGAGGAGGGCGCGTCCTGCGCGCAAAATCCTCGAGGACGTCTCCAACGAAACGTTTTTGTTTTGCAGCGCGTGAGATGCTTCGGCGCCCCAGGGTGCCCACAGGTGGTTCCGAGAGGCAGGTGGTTCCGGGAGGGCAGGGATTGTTGGCCATGGGAGCGCGGACGCCGCGCAGTTTACAGTGGATCCCAACCCTGGAAGCGCGGGCGCAGCGTGATTTGCGAGGGAGGCAGACAGAGTGCCACTCACACCAAGTAGCTTGGCCCTGGGGGCGCGGACGCAGCACAATGGACGTGGGATCCTGGCCCTGGGGCAAGGGGGGGGGGCGGACGCAGGGCAGTTTACGCGGGATCCTGGCCGTGCGAGCGCGGACGCAGCGCAATTTACGAGGGATCGTGTCCTTAGCGGAGCGGACACATCGTAATCTAAATGATCATGGCTTTGGGAGCGCGGGCGCAGCGTCATTTACAAGGGGGCGTGGCCCCAGGAGTGCGCCAGCACATTTACGAAGGATCGTGGCCCTGGGAGCGCGGGCGCCGCGCAAGTTACGGGGATCGTGGCACGGGGAGCGCGACTCCCGTTCATTTTGCGAGGAAGGGTGGTCCTGGGAGCGCGAATCCACTAGAATTCTTGACGCTTCGCGTATCCCCACCAGTTGGCGCGCGAGGTCACAGGGCACCCCCGCGGCTCCTCGCGCTCTGGCCAACGTCTTCGGTGAGTCCGTGCGCTCCGTCGTTAGGCTCTGCAGAGGAAGGGCCCTCGCCTTGTGCTGGTCTCTCATGGTTCCCCCTGCCGCCACAGCTTTCTCATGGTCTCAGGCGACTCTTTTCCTATCACCCGCGGCTGTTAGTCGCACCCCCGGGGCCGTCGGCTGGTCTCAGGCGACACTGGACGTGCATTACCCACCTTCCAGCGGCTGTCAGCCGCCACCCTCTGAAGATAACCGATTTTCCTGCGGCTGTCAGCCGCCCCCCTCTGCCGGGCGCCTCCGGCCCTCCGTGCTCCCCCTGGGGCACGCGGGTTGGTAGATTCCCCTCACGCCCGCGGGCTCGCGTCGGCCCTGGAGGACGGCCGTTGGGGCAGCTACCCGGACCTCGGTGCGGACGTTGCTGGAGCCTCCACGGACACGGTCTCCGTTGTCGCAGGCTGCATCTGGGCATCGCGGTCATCTGGTTCTGACAGCTCGAGGCGTTCGACCGTCTGACGGCTGGCCCGCTCGCGGCAAGTACTCGAAGTACAACGGGGCCATGGTGGTCACTTACCCGGTCCTTCGCCTCTGAGCTGCGCCGCGTGTGTTTCTTTCTCTCTCTCTCTCTCTTTCTCTCGCTCCGTTCGTCGTTTTTCCGGTCTCCTCGTTATTCCGCCTTTTTCGCTTTTTTCTTCTCTCGCGTCGCTCTCTCCCGTTCCGCTTCGTTTTCGCCGCTATTGCGCAGCCGCTGCGTTGTGTAGTGGCCCCTTTTTCCCCGCGTCTGGCCGGCGTCAGTTGCGCTGTGACCTCCAGCATCCGCCCGTAGCACGACCTTTCCGACGCCGCGCGGGTGCCCGCTCGCGGTCGCGACCCAGGAAAGATCACCACCAGTTGGCGCGCGAGGTCACGGTCCACCCCCGCGGCTCCTCGCGCTCTGGCCAACGTCTTCGGTGAGTCCATGCGCTCCGTCGTTAGGCTCTGCAGAGGAGAGGCCCTCGCCCTGCGCTGGTCTCTCGCGGCCCCCCCTGCCGCCCCAGCGTTGCGCAGGAGGTCGCTGGGGAACCTCCCCGACCCTGGTCGCCGGGCTGCATCATGCGCCCTCTCTGCGGCCACTCCGGGCGCCCTGAGGTTGACCGCATGCCCCTTCCCTTTGAGGTGCCCCTGGGCTCTCGGGCTTGCGACTCGCCCGCGGTCGCCATTCCTGCCCGCCCACCTCTCGGCGATCCGGAACTATTCCGTTGAGCGCCTGCATGCCCGCCCGTCGTTTTCGTTGGTGACGTTTCCGCCGACGCTCCATTTTGGCATTCCGGTGCTCTTCCGTCGGGTGCCTGCTCGCTGTTCCACGCCCTCTCCTTCCTCCTGGCGGTCTTCGACTTCGACGGCATCTTGCACTTCGCCATTTTGGCGCTGCGCGTTGACCTGGAGCTGTTCTGGGCCCCCCCGCGCTTTTGAGTCGCAGCGAAGTTCGCTCCTGCGCGCTTAGTGGGTAATTTAGGCCACTGCTAGTTTGCAATTCCCTGACGGCGCCTTCCACCCCCGCGCGCTCGCGAGCAAAAAGTATCCCCACCAGTCCTGGTAGCTCTTGCAGCCTGCCTTCAGTCCCCGGCGCCCCTCAGCCCCCCTCGGCGGCAGCCTCGGCAGCCGTGAGTGCGTCCGCTGGGTAATCAGGCTTCGCCCGTAGCCCAGGTTGACCTTTGACGCCGCATGCGCCTTCGCTTGCGGCTGCGACGGAAAAAAATATCCCCGCCATCCCATCCAGACTCGATCGCCAGGTGAGTTGCCTTGATGAGGGCAGCGTAGAAGCATGCAGTGGGACAGCCGCTTAGGATGCCTTTTTTTTTCGGGGGTGCGGGGAGGGCGGGAACATGTGTTGTATGAGCTACCAAACGGTAGGTTGAACAGGTCGGCTTGGCGCTGTTTTGGCCATATGGGGGTCGTCTTGGGGTGATTTTCGACGAATGTTGACCCGCGGCGGTTATGTCATCGGGGAGGGGTTCCTGAACCACCATGTTGCCAACGCTTTTCCGAACGGGTTTCGAAAACATCAGATCCGATTGCTCCGAATGAAAGAAGAGGAAGAGGAGGATGAGGTTGCATGCGACCCTGGGTGTGTCACTCTTTGCCGATGTTTTCCACACTTGGTTTAGCACAGCAGATAAAAGGTCATATAGCCCAGAAGGAGAGAGGAGGAAGAGGAGGAAGAGGAGGAGGAGGAGGCTTTGTTGTGGCCGTCTTGGAGGCGATTGATCAAAGAAGGGGGGGTACAGTGGAAAACCCTGCCAAGGAAACACCCTGCTTGCCTCCAGGGGGCCATGGGTTTCTTGGGAGTCGACGGCTTGCTATGGGAAGCGTGACATTCCCACACCAAAAATCAATGGACGTCCAGGGGTCTCAGGGTTGGGTTTCTTTTGGAAGGTGTCTTGTGGTCGAGCCCCTACTGTAACCAATTTAGCCCCCCTCTCGGAGGCTCCAAGATGGCCTCCGAGAGGGGCCACGTGGGCCGCTCCTGAGCGCCTCTTGGACGCTCCCAGGGCCGCTCTTGGGGCCGTCTTGGGCCCATCGTGGGGCTGCCTTGGGCCACCTCGGGGCCATCTTGAGGGCCAAAATGCTCATCGGAAGCGAAACTGCGAGAATACATACATTTCCTTTGCGTGTTTGAACGATGTTGGCCTCTGGGGGGGGGGCCCTTGGAGACTCGAAGGGCACTCGGAACCCTCTTGGGGCTGTCTTAGGCCGTCTTGGAGGCATGCCGGAGGTTGTCTTGAGCGACGTTGAGATATCTTGAGCCATCTTGGAGGCGGTCTTAGGCTGCCGAGGGCCGTCTCAATCCAGCGTAATGCAATTTACGAGGGGTCGTGGCCATCGGGCACGTTCCCTGGCACGTTCCCTGGCGCTTCCCGTGGGCACGTCGCGCGGCGTCCTTTTGCATATCACGTCCGCTGGCGCATTCCGTGGCGCGTCCCTCTGGCACGTTCCGTGGCGCGTCCCGTGGCGTGTCCCCTGGCCCATCGCGCGGTGCGTCCCCGTGGCACGTTCTGTGGCACTCTGTCGACACCGTGAGCGCGACGGCAGTGCCAGGCCCTGCCGTCCAAGAACGGCTCGGGACCCCAAGCCTGCCCAGAGAGGGGGTCCAGCCACGATGCCAACATGCCTACACCAGTGGCCTAGTCAGGCCAAACAAGCTCTCCCGCAAGCACTTAGCCTGAAACGGGTAGCGCGAATGAAGCGGGCCCTGGATGCTGCATGCTCCTCCACGTCCCTGATCAGGGCAACTCGTCTGGAGAGTTGCAAACAAAACGGGCCACTGAGGCGCCTCGGCTTCGGGATGCCCAGTCGCGCAGCGAGGAGCCCCTGGGGAGTCTCGGGGCCATCCTGGACAGTCCCTGGCCCGCCGACCGCACTTCGGCCGCCCGCGGGTCGATCCCCCGGCCACCTGGAGGGGAGTAGGGGAGGGAGGACGAGGAAAAACACACCGAACAGACACGGACCAGGAGGAGGGGGAGTGGAGAGCGGCAGGGGCAGCAAGCACGCGCGCAGGGGCGGACGGGGGGGATGGGCGAGGGCTGTCGTCAGCTGCTCGTGGTCGGCGGCTGCTCGGCGCTAAGCGGGGCGGGCGGGGGCGACGGCGTGGGCGGGGACGGAAGCGGTCGGGGGCGACGGCGTGGGCGGGGGCGCGGGCCAGGGGCGGGGGGCGTGGTCGTCGTCGTCGGCGGCCGCTGGGGGCGGCCGGCGAGCGGCCGTCGGTCCAGTGGCCGGCGCTGCGCGCCCGCGCGGTCGGCGGGCGTCAAGGCCCAGGGGCGGCGCGGGGAAAGGCGGCCGCGCCTGCGCTGCGGCGGCGAGCGTTTCTCACCGCTCTCGCGGCGTCAGCCGTCGACGCCGCGGTCCCGGCCGCC